CCTCCACCACCCGAGATGGAGCCTCTTCTTCCAGAGCTGGAGCTACCACCAGAGCCGTATGCACCCCTCTCAGGAGAACCTGTAGTTCTAGTATTTCCAGGGTTGTTTATCCCCCTAGAGCCATATTGTCCGGAAACATTTCCAGTAGCTTCAGGATGACATCCTCCTCTAGTTCTTCCTCTTATGCCACCGGTAGAGCTTGCAGTGTTGTCTATGACACCTGCAAGGAAATCATCATATTTACCTTTTTACAGTAATAGCAGCAGCAGTAATCACAGTCCATACACAAGTGTTCACACACATGCCCCCAAGACATTCACAGATGCCCCATGTTTCCAGGAAGCTAAATTAATATCCCCATGGTTTTAATCATTCCAGACAAACAAAGGGTCACAGGACTCTTAAGAAAGCCATCCATCACCTTGAGATACTTACACACTGTTGCTGGTGACCCTTCCTGTATCCTGTGAAAGAAAGGTAACATTTAGTTAGTGTGCCCAGTAAATCTGAAAAACAGTTGATAACCCAACAACCCAACGAATCAATAACCCAACGAATCAATAACCCAACGAAAGTGCTCATCCCTTCCAGAGAGCTGTTCATTTATTGATCTCGGTGATGGGTTATAGGACAGATTGCTCTGAGCAGGCGGTTGGATCCAGGTTGAATGGTTTGTACCCACCTCGTCTCCTCCCCCTCCAGGAGTGACCTGTACATGGCAATTTCAATATCCAGGGCCAGCTTCAGATTAAGGAGTTCCTGGTGGTCTTGCAGACGGCGAGCCAGCTCCTCTCGGGCCCGCTGCAAAGCCTGCTCCAACTCCTGAAGCTTTTCCTGGCCATCCTTGATGGCAGAGCCACCACGCCGGTCAGCGTCCCTAAGTGCTTCTTGGAGGCTGGCATTCTGTACAGGATATAAGCAGAATGGTTTTCCTTTTAACAGAACTTGGATTTTCAAAACTTCTTATGAGACCTTGGAAAGACCCACCTCAGTGATAGCTCTCTCAAAAAAAAAAAAAGAAATCCAGCTAAATTAACCCAAATTAAATTGCAGCATAGATACCCAAATAAAAACCTGCTTCAGTTCAAAAGGAACACATCGTGTCCAGATTTGGCTCCAAAGGGCCGGTCACATTATTCTGCATTGGCTCCCCATGCAGACATCCTGCCCTGAAAGCATCAGCTTTACCTTTTTCTGCATGATTTCAATTTCGCGCTGCAGTTGTTGGATCTGCCTGGTCATCTCTTGGATTTCCTGGTAACTGTTCCGCTGTTGGTCCCGGTAATTTTCCCACATGTTCTGGAGCTCCTGGTACTGCAGAGGGAAAAGAGCAGTTTTTGTCCACTCGGTTTCTTGTCCACTGATCTCCAAGCTGGGCAGATTATTTCCCCGTCTTATTGCTGTCTACTCACCCTGCCCTGGTACATGGCATGCAGCTCAGCTTTGCTCTTGTGAGCAATTCCCTCGTACTCCCTTCTGATTTCCTCAATGACGCCATCCATGTTGACTTCTTGGTGGCTGTCCATGGGCAGACTGACGTTGGTGTCACCAACTACTGCTTGCAGCTGAGACAGCTCCTGCAAGGAAATCAAGCTTTTGGATGTTGACAGTTCAGGGAACAGTTGGGATCATGTTATGAGGAATGAAATGGGACCCTCTGTTCAGACAACCACTAGAAATTCCCATCCTGCTTCACCCGGAGCCTGGCATCCTCCAAGTCCTACAGGTCAACCACCAGTTTTGGTTCCAGGTGTATCTTCCAACCTCCAGGCCACACCAACCCCCTTTTTCTACTAAAGGTGGCAAAAAGGCACTTCCCTGGAGGGCTTAGGATGACCCCCTCTATAAACTAAGCCTTGTTCCAGGGAGATTTTCTAGGAACCTTCAGAAGATAAGTGCCCTGAATCACCCAAAGGAAAGCTTCCAGTCCAAGAAGCATACTCACCGCTTCATACAAGCATCTGAGGAACTCAAGCTCCTGCTTCAGTATTTCCACCCGTACATCAAACTCCATTTTTCCCATGTAGGCACTGTCCAGTTCCTGTAAAGAGAACCACAGGCATATTTGCACTTCTTTGATGTCAGGCTCTCCACTGAAGCGCAGTTCTTGCTAAACTTGGTGCATTACTTTAAATCTTTCATTCCCAGAGGCAAACAATGGCCCAATAACCTCACTTTTAATTTTAAAAGCAGCAGAAATAGAAGTTTCTAACTCCTAGAACCAAGAAGAGTGATTTGGAAATAAATCAGAAGAGTTGTGGCAACAGAGGTGCTCTATCTCCAAGCTAGATCTCGTGCTTTAGCTCGGTGCCTTGGATTACTTCACCTTCTTGAGCTCCACAAACTCCTCCTCTTTACCCGTGCGCTTGTTGATTTCGTCCTCGAATCTGTTGCAACAGAGAAAAGAAATAGGTAGCTCATCATAATTCTTCAGTCAAGGGGATCAGAAAACAGTAAAAATGATCATGATAAAAACAACAGCATTAATGGTAAACTCGTATTTTCATATTTTCTTATTTTCTAGCCTGGCTCTTTCAAAGGAGTCAAGTCCTTGGCTGCTCCCACCAAGGTCACACATCCTTTGAGGAGTGTAGAAGCATTCACCTCTTTTTATAGTCTTCAACAAGCTGCAGCATTTTGTATGCTTCTGGATCCAGCTGCTCCTTTTGGCTCTGGAGCGTTTCCAGCTGCCTCTGCAGGTTGCTGATGTAGGCTTGGAAGAAAGACGCGATATTTCTGCTTTCCTCCGGCCGGGCACTTTGCTGCTGCAGAAGCTCCCATTTGGTGAGTAGAGCCTGGTTCTGCTGCTCCAGGCATCGGACCTGCAAGCGAAGCAGAAGAGCATCTCTGTCACTGGAAAGCTCTGGGGGAAGCAGCGGTTTTTGCTGTTAATGACGTCAAATCAGCACTAGTTAATATTTCCACCACAGTAACATCTAAAGGTAGGCTGGGACCGACTGTCAGAACTGTGACACCAACACATGAGACAGCTTAGGTGAACGTGAGGACTGTAGAGATGTTCAGATGTGTCTCATCTCAGAGGAGGAGGTTCACAAGACCTACAATCCTCCAATTTGGCCTCTTAAGCAAACCAGGAGGATAGCATCTCCTCGGAGAGGATAGTAAACAGGCTGCTAACCTGGCAGCCGACATCCAAAATATTTCCCAAATAAAAGGATGTCAAGAGCCCTCATATTTTTCCAGGATTAAGCATACTTATGACTCCTGGGTGTATCTTTCCCTACAAGGTAATATTAGGAGCTCTTAAGTCATAATGGAAAACAAATACCAGCTTACACCCTATGCAGCCACACGTCACCACTCCAACAGAGGCACGTGCAAGGTCTGTGTGGGTGGAAGTGTTTTGATGGATGTTTTGTTCCTGTGTTTGTGATTAGGAAGCACCGAGAAGACAGGAGAAGACACTACTGGGCACAGAGATGGAAGAGTTGTAGTGTAAAGCAATGGAAGAGGTAAAGGAGAAAGATTTGAGGGCCATTGACTGGCAGGAAGAGGTTAGGAACTCCAAGAAAAGAGATCACACATCATTTTGTGGTCTGAAGAAATGCAACGTTTTGCTTTCTTTGGAAAAGCAAAGTGATGTCTGTTATCCATTTCTCTTCCTAGCACAAATATTTTTCACGCCCTGGAATATTGTTAGCCGTGCGGATTCGTTTTTCCTCAAAAGGGGAATGGGTTAATATGTCAGTGACACTCCATAGTCCATTATGATGCTGCCACAAAAAAGACTTATATTTAGCCCTGGGATAAGTATCTTCCAGTGATTCATGCAGCAGAGTTTACAACAAGCTATTAAGAACTTGCTAGTGACTTAGTGGAATCTGGCCGTTGCGGTAAGTTTAGAGGAGAGGAGGCCAAAGGATCAGTTGTGTTAAGAGCAGGTGCCCCTGCTCTTCCCCTCTCCCAGATAAAAAGCAAAAAGGGGACTTACCTTATCAATGAACGATGCAAATTTGTTGTTGAGCGTCTTAATCTGCTCTTTCTCTTCTGATCGCACTCTCTGGAGGTCGGGGTCGGTTTGTATGTGCACTGGCCTCCACAGGCTGGTGTTGACACGCACCTCTTCCATGTCTCCACTGACACCTACCTGCCCAAAGCTCCTTCTGGCCCCTTGCTCATCAAAGACACTTCGGTGGGGGCCACCTCCAAATGCCTCCCTGCCCAAGCCTCCTCCACACACGCTACCAAGCCCTGCTTGGAAAGCTCCTACAGGATACCCTCTTCTGCCAAAGCCCATACCAAGGTGTCTCATACCACCAAATCCCAGGCACCTTCCATATCCTCCTTCGTCTCCACTGTAGCCTCCACAGACATAGACGTTCCTAAACCCACCAAGGTTATGCAGACTCCTGCTGCCATAACCGTACCCATAATCACCATATCTTTCTTCTCCTCTGTTGTTCCAGCGGTTTATGGCAGATGAGCTTCGCCCACTGCCAAGTGCGCCACCGTGAGCAGAAAAAGAACTGAAATCCCCATCCCAAAATCTGGAGAACCTCTGGCTCATAGTGTCACCTGCAGAGCGTTAAGAGAGTAGGTGGTGGAGGCTGTAAAAAGGAGGAGAAATGAGAGTGAAGGAGCCTCAACTCCTCTGCCGGGTGAGATGGACGTTCTCCTTTATACCTCATGGAGGAGTTGGTCTCCATTCCGTGGTAATCAGCAGGTTTGTTAATTTTATTATTGGGTTTGGTTCATCAGGCAGCAATTAATGGCTTCTTGAACAGGCAACAGAGTAAACATCCCACACCAATAGAGGAATTGTGAAATTCTCCAAATCCTACTTGACTCACAAGCTTTGCTCGGATGAGATTTCCTTATCTAGTTAGCCTGCCCTCCATCATTAATTACAGTTTGCAGAGTTTTCAGTGCAGATTACCGGGGTTTGTACTCTCCCATTTTTCTCCCGCCTCTCTTGACATTTCATTTTTGGAGGTGTCTTGGTGTCAAGGCAAGGCCTTGGTGTAGCCCTTATAGAGTCCTCATTGATTACGGGGTCAGAGAGGGCAGCTCAGCTTCTATCATGATGTCACCTAAGTTCAAGTCTATGATACCATACACCAAGTATAGAGCTGATCCTCAAACTTTTCAACCGAGATTCTCCCCATGTGCATCCACCCAACCCATCCTTCCACACCTTCCTGTCCCTGATTCCACTCAAGTGTACTTTGGTGTGGAAAATGTCCATGGTCATGTTAAAGATCATCGTGGAGACAAGTCATGCTCCACAAATGCCACCGGGAAAGGCTTCAGCTTTGACCAGTAACTCAAGAAGACCCTGGCAATGTGATGCCCTGTTACCAAAAGCACCCCTGGGAGCTGTTTTCAAGTGGCAAAGACCATCCCTATGTCCTTTGCACAACATGAGGATGAGCTGGGCTTCAGCTGGAGGGGATGCATTTCATTCCAATGGTACTGCACAAAACCACACTGTAAACGGTTCAGCGTCATAGCAGTTGTGTGGTCAGGGCTTGGCAATCCTTGGTCCGGTCCCATTGGGAAAGTGCCTTGTAAATTCCTGAAATTAAAGGTTTGCAGGGAGAGGTAGCAGCCGTTATTACCTGATTTGCCTACAAGTTTCCCGCTTGTTTTCCCCTCTTCCCCCAAATTATTATACAAAACACTGACTTGGACTGAGAATCACAGCAGAAAGAAGGCTTGTGGTTAACAAAAACTTCTGTAATTATGGTATTTCTAAAAGTGAACAGAGGAGCATCTGGAGATGGGGCAATTGTAACCCGTTTGGGGCAAGATTTATCAAAATATTAGAATTGCATCACAAGGGTGAGCTATTCCATTTGTCCTGTATTGTTGCTCTTATTTAGATAAAGAAGTTGTATCTGCTCCATTCAAAAACCTTCATGGGACAAACTGTGTCTGGGAACTGCAGAGACTAAAACTTGTGTGACCTAGGAGCAATTAGACAAACCAGGAGGGCAATATATGTTCTCCTGTCAGGAGATGAGGAGATCCTGTGGTCATGTCCTATGCTTTTTCTTCTGTGATCTGAGCTAAAAATATCCCCTTTGCCTTAAATAATGATTCTTGGCAGAAATGCGAACACTCAGCGTTATTCACCTGTTAGTTGAGTTTGTGGCCTGCTCTTTGGGATGGATTTCACCTTCATCCCTGCTCCTTTCAGTCTGAGAGCGTCTCTTTCCAATGAATTCCACATCAGGAAGATAGCCTAGATCTTGCAAGGAAGTGTTATGACCTAGGGGAGGGAACACCCACAGGCCAAACAAGCCAGCCCAATTGGGAACGATGGTGAGATAGATGTCTGCACAAAACCATTGCCCCCGAACCATACACGAGCTGGCTGCACGAAGCAACCCAGGCAGTATCTGGACATCTAGAATAACTGCACAGACCTCTGGGGCAGCGGTGTCCTCACTGAGAAGGTCTCCTGCAAACCCCATGAGAAGAGAGCCCACCACGTGCCACGTTATCCAAGAGCGTGGCATGTGGGTTGCTGTTGTTGTGGTTGTCACCGGCACAGTTCAGTCTTGGCACAACGGGCCAAGCCACGCCTGAACTCGTTGAGCTGGCTCCAGAAACAGTACCGCATCCCAGTTCGGAGAGATGCTCCCACAACCTCCAGTGAAGGGGGAGCTTCTGGCCATACCTTCCTGTTTCCTGCGAAGAGCTCAAGATGTGCACATGTCGCTTCTGTTCTGATCCCTTCAGAGAGCTAGTACAACGTTTCCCAACTCGAATATGGCCAAAACAACCACAGCTTCAATGGTTCAATTCCTTAGCAAGGATGGCTAATCACAGAGTCTACTCAGGAGTGGAATTCTTGAGGGACTATTCAGATAGCCATGTGATTGGGTCTCTTTTTTTGAGAGGATTTCTATAAGACAACTTCAAATTGTATCCCAGAAGTTATTCATTTCCAATAGTTTGTCTGGGCTTCTCCAGTTGAGAGTACCCAACATCTGTGGTCTAGTCCTCCCACATGGAGGTCCCAGACACAGGTGACAGCAGTGTTCCTTTCTGAACTTTCTGCATTGTCCATGGAATTTTGCCGGTCTCCAGCCCACATCTGTCTCGTTCCAACTCAAGTAGACTTTAAACCAAGTCTTCTGCATCTAAGCCATGGGGCCAACTGCTCAGGGAGAAATACGTGCTCAAGAAAATACCTCTAAGTTTTGCAGGGCCATTTAAATCAGCTTAAAATAGAAAGCTTAAATGACTAACATTCTGCAAAGATCTAGCTGGTTCTTGTAGCCATGAGATGCAAATCCCTGCTCTTTTCGAGCTGCATCAGCTGAGCTGGTGATGGATAGGTAAGCACAGAAAGGAAATTGGCAGCTACTGCACATTGGTGCAGTGGTCACAAATACAGTAGCAGGTTAATAAATATGATACTTGGATTTAATAACTACCCAGATAAGAGATATCAACATACATACATAGGATTGGAATGGGATATCTGGATGGCAAGTTGCCTAAATATCTGCATAATTAGGGCCATAAGTTAACTTGAAAAAAAGGTGACTGTGATCACACGGGCAGAGTTAGGAAAACTCTGTGATGAAGGGCGTCACAGATCTATCGGTAACCACCAGCAGAAAAGTGAATGGAACCAACCGCTCAGTCCATAACCAGAGTGACATCAAACCAAGCTAAGGAGACACCGAGGAGAAGACTAAGAAGGGAGAGTTGCCTCTTGAGCAGCGTCTTTCTCCTTGATAAGTGATGGCTTCAGGGGAGACTTTGGTGTTTCAGAAAGCCAAGTTAGGCAGGATGAACTTCATCTGGTGGGACCTTGGGCCAGTCACTTCCTACCTTTGTCTCACCTTGGAGACACTTGTCTTCGATTGGATGCCTCTGTATTAACCCTGGATTTTAGTCTCGCGTCTTGACCAGCAGGTATTTGTCCAATACAAAACAAATACTATTTTACCTTGTAGTCCTGTTAAGAATCAATTAATGGCTATATTAATAAATGGATGATTATTTTAGGGTCACAGGAAGGCAAGCCGGTCAGCGAGTTGCTTGTAACCACCTATAATATCAAATGATCTGTTCAGAAATTTCTCATCGTGCCTATGGTATCTCTTAATCTCTCACTTCTGCACAAATGTGAAAGTATCAATTTAATATACTGTGTGAAAATAATTAAGTAATTTGCTGTTGCTGTTGTTAGCAATAACAGCGAGTTGAAGAAGTAGAAGCTTGTCTTTTTTCTTTTTTTACTTTATTGGCTAACCTAATATGTTCTCTTATCTCCCAAGATCTGTTGAATACTGAACAAGTCTTGATTCTTCCACAAGCAGCAAGCGAAGACAACCAAAGTAAGGACTTTTTTTTGCTGCGTTGAGTAACAGAGGAGGCATGAAAGCTGCAACCCAATTGTAGTAGGACCACAGGTTGGGAAAGCAGTTCAGGAGCGTCAACACGGCACACAGTAGTTTGGCTTTGTGCCCCAGGAGACCTGGCACTCGCTGGGGCTGCCTCCATGCGGAGGCTGTTCGGAGCCGTCCTGCAGCTTGTGCCCTCGAGCTGGGGCGTGCGGTGCTGGAGCAAAGCACAGATGGAATCTCCAAAGGGTTTCAGGAGGAGAAATGATACAGGCAGGGCAAAAAATAAAGGGAGGAGAGAGAGAGAGAGAAGGAAAAAAGAGGGCAAAGAGGAAACTGGGTTGAACTTTAGGGTAAATGCACGGTGTGTCATGAGCAAACACTGCTGTTTTCAACCTGCGGCTGCTGCCCAGCAGGAATACAAGCAACGTGCGTGGCTTCGAACATGGAAGCAATGAGCCAAGCAGGGTTGGTTTCATGCCACCTGAGCTATCACCTAGCCATGACAGAGTAGCTGTCCTCTCCTGAGAGAGACTTCTTCATCCAAGCCACCACCTGCATGGATTCCTTTATCAGCCAAAGGCATTAAACACTAGATCTTCGCCATTTTTGCTATTTTTTTGCTAAAATTAAGGAAATCCCAGAAATGTCCATCATGGGCAAGTTTACTCAGGGCATCTGTCCTTCTTAGCTAGACTGGGAATCAATAGCACACTCGATCAGAGAGTTGTGCTTCCTTTTCATCTTCTTCCAGATAGAAAACATGCGAAAAGCAGTGGAGTAGGCATCAAAGAGACTGGTGATGATTGAGAACAGTTTTAATAACAACCCTCCCACCCCAATAGGAAGTTCAAATCACAGCTGTGAATAATTCTGGCAGACATTTAGGATCCAGTAAACAACTTGATTAGCAGCCTATCAAAGAAGTGGGTCCCAGCGCTGCCTTCTCCTTGCAGAGCATCATTAGTTCTAGGATGTTCACCACACCCGCACCATCATGCTTATATATCACTTGGGCTGGCTTCCAAGATGGATTAGAGATGATAATTAATCTAATCAAGGTCGGACTGATCAATTGAATAAATCACTCTTTGGGAGTTATTGGCACCTCAATTACTGAAATTATTGCAGATGCAGAGATAGTCCCATCTGCAGAACAACAAAACATGTTGAGAGTTGGGAAAGCAACACAAAAAGAATTGGAGTTTTGGGCCTCGTACCCAGCAAGGGAAAGATCCGTAGAAAGGCCACGTAGCCTAGGCTTCTTCTCATGTAACGTCCACCATTAAATGGAGGCATTTAGGTAATCTGGTCATTTAGGCTCGTGGTGAGAAGGGGCCACC